TCAGTATCATAACTGTGTCACGTACATGTACGTACTGCACTGTTGAGTCCTGGTGTGATATGCAAGTGGTTTGCCTACCGCTGGCAGTTAGTGAATTTTGCTAATCGATTAATCACACACGAACTAATCGCGATTAATCACAAGTAGTGGCAAAAATTCTGAGACGTGGTGTCAACATGTGAATATGGTGCTTTCATTAGTTTTATCGCAGAAATTCTGCATAAGTATAATGCACACTATGCAGCAGCAAGTGCCAGGGCAAGTTTGTTTTTCTGTGTTTTCCTTTTATGTTATGTCATCAATTCTGAAATCTGGAAAGTCAGTGGCAGTATTCTCGGTAGCTGCTATAAAATTATCATGATTACATACGGGTTATCCTGGAATGGTTGTGGCTTGAGCTCCAGTTGGATCCGAGTACATACAACGACTACATGTGACTACGGGCCATTTTTCAAATTCGTCTCTGTCTGAGGCTTCGTCTATAAAACCAATCCCTGATTGTAGGCTTGAAGCATTTTAATTAATTTGAAGTTCTGTAATGTTTGGCTCTTTTGCATCTAACTTGATATTTTGTGGCACTGTCAGACTTACTGTCGTGTTTACAACTTCAAAGTCAGGTTAAAAAAAATATTGAGGCCTGCAGTCAAGTATTGGAAAACTACATAGTCCGCCAAAAAGCAGGATGCCTGGCCGCCGATTCCATTCTGAACGTGTATAGGACAATTTTAATAAACCTTTGTTGTGGAGGCTCTAATACAGATCGCAGATTCCTTCAGTTTTAAAATAAAAAGCTGCCAGCTTGTCTGAAACTGTTTGAATAGAATAGTTCTTGCCTTTAAACGTGGGAAAATTCTGATTATTCCAAATTCTCACATTATGAATTTCTAAATAACCTCACTAAACTTCTCAACGGTTTAGCCCACAGACATTGTTGTTCAGCCTTCATTCTTTGTTTGAGCATGTGAGGCAATATGAATAATTCATCACTAACTGCCTGACGGATACTTGCCAATGATTGCAGCCACAGTCTCACAAAGTCTCATTTTTGCCCTGCTAAACTGGGTGGCCATCTAGCACTCTTTCTAAGATTGGGCTGCACAGTGCATGCAGTTCGGCCACGTGGTTGGGTTTCGGTGCCCGTCTGTCTCAAAGGGCATTCTGAACTTTTGAGGTCTGTCAGTGCGGTAAGTGATCACATTTGACCATTACCACCGGAAATTCTCATTTGTTTAAAATGTGCTTTTTCACTAGTGTTTTGAGTTCAATGGCATTATGGTGGATAGAATGAAGTAATGATGCTAAATTATACAAAATAAGGTAAGCAGTACTGGAAATCAGAATTTCACACGGAGAAAAATTGTTTCATTCATTGAACATGAAGGTATGACAGTTTAGGCCCACCAAGCTAATTATTCTACAAACCCATCACTTAAGTGTGGAAAAAAAATTATGAAACAGAGAAACTTCCAAATTTTGTGGATGGGGCAGAAAGGCTATTCTACATTTACTTGTTTCAGTCACAAAGTTTGAAACCCCAAGACACAAAATAACTAGCATCAAAAAATAGATCTGTGTGTAATTTGAAACATCCAGATTGTTTGGAATGAATTTATGAACCCGTGAACTACGAGCAGTTTACTTCCTTTCAACATGACACAGAAGCCTTAGATACTTGCAGTTGGAAACTCTTGCTACATTTTTGGACTAAGGTTAATAGTAGGAAAGGTTTAAGTTCGTTGAACTGAACTGCCACCTGACTTAGTCAACCACAAGCCTGTCAGTGGAGACTGCCGAAATAAAGCAGGTGTGCCCTTGATCATGATCATGTACAGTGTGGAAGTGTGTGTAACTTAATCGGTACTCCGTAACAATCACTACTCGCATATAATTCTACAGTTACTACATGTAATCTTGCTGGGACGATTAATCAATTAGTTGCAAATCCATGAGTAGTGAAATGAGTAGGAGGAACTAATCACGATTAATTGATTAATCGAGATAATCGCCCAGCGGTCGGCTTGCTGTGCTTGCGTCGTCCTTAGGAGGCACATGATCAATTATCGAATTTGCAGCCCGTAAGGATAATAATCGAGAACGAATTTGCAGGGGTTGTCCATGGAGGTAGAAAAAACCAGTGTAAATCAAAGCCATTGAATTAGTGCAAGGAATCATAATATACATAAGCAAAACATGTGTATGTGTAAGTCTGCATTTGCATAAGTCGTCATAATTTCTTGAGTCCCAAGAGTGCCGACTTAGCTGGCGAAACGTGTATGTGTAAGTCTGCATTCGCGTAAGTCGTCATAATTTCTTGAGTCCCAAGAGTGCCGACTTAGCCGGAGTTTACTGTATAGCGACAACCTAGACCCACTTCCACTGAAGTGCCAAGTCCAACCATGCACTTTCTCCCATATATACCGGTACACAAAACCCCACCAGTGGGAGAACGTTGTGTTGGACTCCCAATCATTAACCCTAACTG